TACATTAGATGTCTCCTTCGCTTCTGTTTGGCACGTGCCAAGATAACAGTATTCAGACTTGCGACGGCTCTAACTCTGGACTAATAATAATAATAATAATTCTTTGCATATTCTTTTTAAAATTTCTTTTTAAAATTAAGCGTATCATTAATAATCAATAATCAGAGCAGTTGCAAATCTTTCTCTTGTTTTTTGAAATTCAATATAATTCAGTATCTTATGGAAGAAGAAATCAATATTCTTATATGAAGAAAATTATATTATTTGTTATTATTTCTTTTTGGAAAGAAAAAAATCGTGGAATCCACTGGACGTAACAAAAATTTAAATCAATAGGAACCTCCTCCCCGGTATCTCAATTTTCTGTTTTTACTCAAATTTGCTATTCGATTTAATTAATTTTCTACTAAGAATCGAAACATTGGAGCCTATGTCAATTTTGAAAACACATTCTTGCCTATCTACATTTCCACGAAAACAAAAATTATTTGAATTTCCAGTTAAATTTCCAAAAGAAAAACTCCTCCTTTTTGAAGTCTCTTTCAATGCCGAGCTCCGCGGAACCCTCACGCAGAACTCGGCAAACCCGAGTTTCCCTGCTTTGAATTAGAAAGTGCGGGACATTCAGCCCGAAAGTGTCCCTTGGTTCCGCATTGTCAGTATTCTCCTACATTTCGGAGAAATTTCCTCTTCTCTTTAAAATTTTCAGGTTTCCTATGATTTAAAACACTCATCTTTCGATTCCTAAATGTTTTGTTCTGTTTATTCCCAAAATCAGTTCTCTTGTTATAATTACAAAAATTACAATTTTTCGAAAAATTATAATTATTTTTTTTCCAAACTGTTATCTTTAATAATTTTTATCGCCATTGCTCTTTCAACAACAGCCCTTTAAAGATATGAGCCTTTGTAACTAAAATCTGTTTTATGTACCTGTCTATAAGCGCAACAATGAATTGCGAACGCGCAATTTTATCTTGTAAAGGGGACAGGCGGACACTCCGGATAAGCAAGGGACGAGATAAATGTTTTAAATCCGAACCAAGAAGCTAACTTCTCCCTGAAATTTTGTTTTTGATTTATGAACTGCACATAATAAGTTTGTGTCGAAAATTTTTCTCCAAAGCGCAATTCTAATCGCGAAATCAAATTATCGAACTGCGAATTTTCCAATTTATCTTCCTCTAAAACCGCATGCGTCTTCCCTCTAAGACACGACGCTAATACGACAACTTTCTCCGCATTCCCCCAATTATTCGTACGCGCGATTAAATTAAATTGCGTCAAAAATTCTTGCAACGGGACACTTCCGTCATAGATATCAGGCTTTAATTTAAAAGCCTGATGAAAAGAGACTATTCACAAAAATTAGAATTGGGGATGGTGTGGCTTGGTGTGTAGCATTGCTCCTCCGAATGCTGTTCTAACTCTCCCTGTTGACCGGGAAGCAAGCAAGTCTCTTTGTTGCAACAGCGTAGTTCTGCTCTCGTGAGACGAAGCTCCTCCAATGTGAGTCTGAAAACCGTCTCCATATTTGTCGTCTCCGATTGCTCCATTCGCACACAAATTCTCTTCTTAGCCATCTGCCTCCCTGTTGCACTCGGAATTCACGGATTCCGCTTGCTGTTTCCGTCACACCTCCAATGCCCGCCAGCGCCAGATTCTCCGTCATATCAACGACGATCGGTCCGATGGATTGTTACGATCCCGGACGACCAAAATGTCGCGCTCACGACGGTCACAATCACGAATCGCGTTTCTCAGGAAAGCCGCGCGTGAAATAACAACACTTCTTTATAAAGAAACGGAACTTTATTACGACAATAGAACAATTAATACGCTGCGGACAAACGTCCGTCCGCCTCAAGTCACAACAATCACGCTTGACAATCACTTGACGACCGCGTCGACAAGAAACGATCTTCAAGTTGGAAATCGATATGAGGATAGCGCCGAGCGGACCGCTCAGTCGTAACAATATCTATAATGAATGATGCAATATATAAATTTATATCATATGAAAAGTTTTGTCTAAACATTCTTTTATATATCTCATCGTTTCATTGACAATTGAAAGGATCAAATATATGCGTTAGTCTTTGAGGAATTGTGTCCCTTAAAACTTCAATTGAGCTGAAATAAAGAGAAAAGACATCTTAAACTTTTGTGTTTTTAAAAAATATGTTATTAAATATGTTATTAAATACGTCTAGAAATTAGCGTATAGAGGCAATATAACAGCGCAAAGAAATAACAGCGTAAGTGAACAAAAATAATTTTAAATTTAAGATACTATTATAATACAATAAAGAAAGAATGATTGAAAAATGATTGAAGTGGATGTTTTTCTATATGTAACTAAGGAAAATAAAAAAAATTATTCTTATTGTTATTTTTATTTGTAATACATAATGCAGAAAAATAATTTTGCCACGCAAACGCTACATAGAAGCACAAACGTATGTATATAATGATGTTTTCAGGTTATTTCTGAAAGATGCAATTTCGTAAAATAATTTTCTAATGGTTGAATTTGGCAAAAAAATTTCCTTTAATTTTTATTCTTAGAAATAAGTTTAAATTTCGCAGATATAGTAGTGGGGTGGGGGAGGGGGATATTTAAAAAAAATATGAAATTTTTGGAAAATCTAAATACATAGTTAGCACATAAAGAACTAAAAAACAAATAAAGAATTAAAAGTTTTGTCTAAATATTCTTTTATATATCTCATCGTTTCATTGACAATTGAAAGGATCAAATATATTAGTCTTTGAGGAATTGTGTCCCTTAAAACTTCAATTGAGCTGAAATAAAGAGAAAAGACATCTTAAACTTTTGTGTTCAAGGAGAATCAAATCGGTTTCGAATAGTTATGATAAATCCCTTGTGAGAGAAAAATAATATATATGCATGCCACAACATTGTGTTTTAAATATTTCAAAAGCTATTAGTTTTTTGTTGTTTATGTTATAATTTTTTTTATGTAAAATTATGTAAAATTTATGTAAAATTATTATGCTCTATTAAATTCTGTCTGTCTTTTCTATTATCATTATTTCATGTTTCTGTTTCCATTAAAATAGGATATTTTTATACATACCTAACAAATATGCATTTTATGTTTTATTTTTAATATAAATTTACATATATACACTTTTAATTATCTGATATTTTCTTATTAATTATTCTCATATGTTGGCATGACTAGATCGAATTAGTGATAGAATACAAAGTTGGTGGATCAGTAATGCCAAGTTCCGGAATCTTCACGGTGAGAGTAACTAGGCCGTTAGGCGGTCAACCTGATTTGGGTCTCACAGTAAACGAGGATCTAATAATCACAGAGGTCCGCCGAGGATCACTTGCTTATCGAACAGGTAGTTTAGCACCTGGAGACAAACTACTTGCAATAGATGGGCAAAACCTAGATCCTGGGGATTTGCGACAAGCTGCTCAATTATTGCATCGACCTGGTGGCTCAATAGTTGCTTTAACCATTAGAAAACCGGATCCTAATACGGAAATAAGGTATTTAATGACAAAATATTTTTAACAAAAATTAGCTTTATACATTTTATTAAAGTTTATTATTTATTATTTTTATAAGATATTACACTAAAATAAAATTTAAAATCTATAGCAGATATATTTTTCTAAATAAAACTAATAGTAAAATATATTTAAAAATATCAAAAATAGATCAAAAAATTATTTTGTTACATTTATTTAATCTTCAATATTAATACAACAAATTTTGCATTTATTTATCGCATGCAATGTAAAAATAGAAAATTATTTCTTTAACAGCACATATAGATACTAACAAGAAAACATAACAAACTGTCTCTCTTCATTTTAATCAGTTTCGAAAATATTAAAGAATAGACAAAAATTATACATAAATATTTTTTTATATTTGCGTTCTCACACATTAAGAAAATGAAATCATCTCTTGAAGAAAATCGATTTTTCTTCCTGAATGAATGTCATCCAAACTGTCAAAAACATGGAAAAAGGTTTTAAAAAAAGTTTTATGGTTGCAAATGAACTTTACAAGTGTGAATTCGAACTGTTTAAAAATGTTATATTTTTTAAAACACTCTCATCTGACCCTTAATTTTCAAAAATTTTAAAATTTTTATAGCGACAAAATTAAAGAGCATTTTATGTTGAAAACAACATATATAAGAACAATATATATAAGAAAATCATTATCCAAAAACACATTTTTGAAAATGAATGACGATGACGAGGACGACGTTACATATCATTCATTTAATTTTCATCGTAAAGCAGATAGTTGTAATGTTCGAATATATTTTATTAATGAATATTTATATTTTGTAATGTTTTATTACCGCAACGCTATTCAAGACAGTTTTGCTAAGGCATAGTTTTATTTGTATTGTTTACATGAGCATTGGTATAAAAGAATGCAGATCGTTACAGCAGTTTTCACAGTTTTATAATTGAATTCGAAGAATTAAAATATTACGAGTGCGTGATATGAAGATTAATAAGTGAATATGTGCTTTTAAAAGTTTTTATTGCTGCTTATTTCATACATTTTTAGTTTTATAGGTTCTTTAAGTTGAAATTTATAATTATTTGTTTTATTTAATTAGAACTTTTTATAAATATTTAATAGAATCTACTAACGTTGATAATATTTTTTAAAATCTTTTAGACAGTAATACATGATTTATGTATCAAGAAATGCAGTCGCGATTCGTCGCCAAGTGTACGCGCTAGCGCTTTTCGAGTGCAAGACCGACAGTGTCCTTTTATGCGAGCCAGTGAGTTGCTAATATCCGTGATTATCGGAACTCAATAACAGGTGAACCGATCAAATTTTAGATAGGCGCAATCGATTACTTAGATTTAAATTTAAATTATATAATAAAAGTGATCTTATTTTTTGTCTATGTATCCTATAAACAGAGATATTGCAATCCAAAATTCAAATCGGGAAATTTATATTCAAGAAACATCATTATTATTATTGTCATCTTCGCTGTCTGTATGGATTACAGTTTCAATTTTTACTGCTACGAAGTGGCGGCGCTAGCAATCAAATCTTCGACATGATATACGAATATTATATAATTTCACGATCATTTCATGATCACTTTCTTCTCTCTTTGTCTCTGTTTTTGTCTCTTCGCATATTTTCGCATCCGTTTCGTAATTTTTCCGCATAACTTTGCAGCAATTCCGCAATTCTTCTGTAACCTTTTCGCATATTTCCGCAATCTTTCCACAACTCTCTCACAAACTTTCCCAAATATTAACTCAACCATTACACAACTCTCTCGTAATTTTTCCGTATATCACCACAACCATTCCGCAATTTCTAAGAAATCAGCAGTTTATCAACAACTTTTCCGTAATTCTTTTGCAATTTTTCACATATTTCTGCAATCATTCTGCAACTTTCTCACAATTTCCGCATATCTCCGCAATCATTCCACATCTCTCTCGTAATCTTTCCGTAATTCTTCCGCAACATTTTCGCATATCTCAGCAATCTTCTGCATATCTTTGTAATCATTCCGCAATATCTTAGGAACATCTCCGCAATCTTTTGTAATTTTTCCGCATATTTCTTCAATCATTCCGCAATCCTCCCGTAATTTTTTCATATATCTCTGCAATCATTCCGCAACTTTTACACAATCTTTCCGCGTATCTTCGCATCCCTTTCGCAACTATTTCACAACCATATTTCAATCATTTTGATACTTTTCCACAATCTTTTCATTCCTTTTATGACTCTCTCGCATCTTTTCCGCAATTATCTTTGCAACTATTTCACAACCATTCCGCAAATATTCCGCAGCTCTTCCGCAACATTTCCGCATTTTCCTACAACTATTCTGCAACTTTCCCACAATCTTTTAGCATAATTCCTCAATCATTCCACAACTCTTTTGCAATCTGTCCACATTTCTGCAACTATTCCGCATATTAAAATTGTATATATATATATATATATATATATAATT